CTGCTGAGAGAAAATGTTTGAAAGTTGTTGTTTTATGAAATTCCACTGTGGATTGTAGATCGGAGTGTGGTGGTGCTCGTTTTGTTTTATGGGGCTGGGGGGGTTGGTTGTGGAAAATTTTAGTATGTTTTAGATGGCATCCAGAAAAAGCATTACTTCATGCTATTAACAACGCTTTCTTGTTTTGTGTCTCCTCTTACTGCTCACAATAGATGGTAAATTCAGGGCACTAAAGATGGAGTTCTCCCTTCCCCCATCCACTTACGCTACCATGGCCATTCGAGAAGTTTTAAAAATGGACACAAGCATAAAAAACCAGACACAACTGAATACTACCTGGTTACGCTGAATGAACTGCAAAAACTACTTAGATTTTAACATATATAAAGTGTTTTCCTATTTACATGATCTGTACAAATCTTTAAAGACTGGTAGTAAGAGATTTGTATTTTTTAAAGTTTTTATTAGTGCTAGCATTTAACTTCAGTAGTCATTTGCAAGATGGTTGTAATATAATACAGATCTTAGTGACTGGTGCTTTTTAATGACTAAGTTGCTTGAACTGTCATGTGGGCGCATCTGTAAGAAATGGGCTTAGTTTCAGCCTTGGAAGAATGTTTAGCTTGCTTTTTTGTCTTTGGCAAGCACTGAATGTTTTAATGGGTTCAGCACACCTTGAAGTCTCTTTGAATACATTAAACTACAGTTTAGGGAAATGAGTTACAACACAAGCTATCAACCAAGTTTTATATTGCAGGAGGTTTTGCTGGTACCATTTGCGCTGATGCGGTAGAGGATTTTTATGTGCTGTAGAGGTGTGCTGCTGCTTTAATTAGTTGGTCTTTTCATGGAGAAAATACTTGTGTGTTTTTTCTAGCTTTACGAATACCTGTACTAAACAGGTACTGAAAATAAATCAACCTGAAAGTCTAAGTGTGTATCAGTAACTACTTCCTTTACACATCTCTTAATGTTCCTGGGAGGGGCTGCATTTTCAGTCTCTTTCTAAATGAAATGAAAAGCTTGCGTCACTAGAATCATGTAAACGG